TTTGAGTAGTAAAATGATGGGTGATCTATCGGAAGTGATTTGTGATACCATGCGAATGAGGCCAAAAAATAGGAAAAGATCGAGTGGTAATTGTAGAGTCAGTAAACAATGATTTCAAACCTTTGTAACAATTAATGTACCGCTCGTCAGACGAGATGGAGTTCACAGATCGAAAGGGCGGATGTGGCTGGCTCAGTAGCCATAGATGATCGGGACGTTATAAATTTCTTTGACTAATATGGCTTAGAGTCATTCACCATGTAGGTTAATCAACGACAAACATGCATGATTATAACATAAATAACCCAATATTCGCAAATGGAAAATCAGAAACATTATAATTAGTCATTGAAATACTCCAATAAATTTTAAAAAGATACACCACATATATTATATATAGTTGATATGGTTTTCAAGCTAAGTTCACATGATTATTTTTAAAATTCTTTATAAACCCTTAGATAAATTTATGGCTGATTAACATTCTCTCTCATTAAGAATGATTTATTTTTTGTTTAACATTCTAGTCTATATATATGATAATTATAATTTCATTTTATATGAATTTTTTTTTATTTTAAACCATGAAAATATTTCACTAAATGTATACTTTAACTCTCTAATGGTAACTTTATTTCAAATAGAAATTTTTCATGGATTTATTTATATTTTGTAATGTAAATCGATATAATAAGTTACAATTATAAAACTTGAATGTCACTTGTCAACAATAATCTTAGTTTTTTTTAAATGATAAATATATATATATATATATATGTATCTGATTATAAATCCTATAAAATAAAACAAAATCTTCCAATATATTTAAAATTTTCTTTTGTATTGAGAATGATATAATATGACTCCAAATTTTGAATGCTCAAAAGATATAAAATATTTGACCATTTCTTTTTAAAATTATGTCTCAACTTAAGTTTATATTATTGGTTATATTTGACAATGAATTTGTCAAAAAGAAAATATTTATACTTATAATCTTGTTTGGCTAGTTTGACAACTGAAATAAATTGGTTTCTGGTTACTTTTTTAAATTGAATTAAACAAACCAAAACTAAAAAAAAAAATTCATCGACCAATCAAATTATAATAATTAATTTAACATTTTTTTATGAAAGACATGTTTAAAAAACTCAATTAAATGTTTTTTCAATTAATATAGGAATTATTTTAATATATAGGAAGATGTTATCTAAGCATAACGTGGCTGATTAATACTTGAGGATGTGTATGTTAAATCCAAAGTAATATGTAACGGGTAGGATGACATGATTACATTATCGTAATGTTGGTATAATCTTTGAAAACAAATCTTTAAAATATTGGCTAGAGAAAGAAAATTTAAGATACTAGAGTCGGCCCGGACTACGCCCGGATGTTTTCGTTGAAACTTTAATTATATATGTTATATGTTATTTTGATATATAAATATTATAATATATTATAAAATATAAGTAGTTATAAAATTATATCATTATTATTAATTATTTCTTATTTTTTGTCTTTCGAATTTTAAAAATTTTAATTTGTATGTCATAGATTATCAATATATGTTTTGCGTAAAATTGTTGTGTATTATGTCTCGTCTCGACTTTTGTTTCTTTATTTGTTGTGTTTTATTATTTTATTTTCACTTTTTTTTGTAAAATATTGTTTGATTATTTATTATTCATTGTTTACTGTTTATATCTTTTTTGATAAGTCTAAATTTGATCTTATTTACCTAAAGTGGAAAGAAAAATTAGTGTGTGAATCTTTTTTTCCTTAGGTTTAATGAAAAGTAAAAGAAAACAACATGATAATATATTTTTCGTATTTCTAAACTTATAGACTTCTTTATTTATTTTAAATATATTTAAATATTCTGTAACATTTACTTAACTATGAAATCTTTATTAAACTTTTCATTAAACACAGGAAAAAAAATTTTTGATTAAAATCAAGTTATATTACATAGCATAATTAAATTTTAATTAGTCTATTTTATATCTTATTAGATCTTGGTTTAAAATTATTTTCACTATGTATTAATTATTAATTATTTTTATATCATTTTGTATTATAGGTTAACCTTAAATTTGGTAGTAAAAAGGGAACTAATAATTTGTGAGATTCAGTATTTTTATTTTCATTGGTATAAATCAAATGAAATGTATAAAGATTAATAGCGTAAATTTATTTATCCTCTTTCTCATGAATTTCATTTATTATAATTTTATTTTTTTGTTTTAATTATATTATATAGTTTCACTAAATGATTATTTTTTCTTATAATTATAATAAATTTATTTATTATAATTCTAAATATATTTGTTTTAGTTATATTATATATTTTCACTAAATGACTATCTTTTTAACAAAAAGATTAATGTCAATTTTTGGTTTCATTAAAAATAAAATATTAATTATAATGATTTAGAAGTAAATAAATTGTTTGAAAGTTTTGATGGTTGTATTTAGGGTTCACTTCATATTTGTTTAGGACATGTTATACGGATCAGTGTTATATAGTTGTGTATTTTTGCAAGTTCTATTCTCGAGCCTATGGTATTATGTGCTAATTTTTCTCCAATTTATTTCTAAAAACTATCAATCAAGTGGAAAGATATTTACTCTCATTTACTTTTTTTTATTACTCTTTCAAAAGAGATAAACGCACACTTATAGTTGTGCTAGATATAGTGAACGTAACACTATTTTCTCATTTTCCTTCTCTTTTCATTTTATTTTTTCTGATTCTATTTGATCAGAAAAAACTGTGAGATCTTAGCAGCCACTGAAGTGGTGTTATGAGGAGAAAGATTCTGAGGCAGGATGGTGTTAAGCTAAGGACATATTATTTTGTCAGGCTATACGCTTGATATTCAGATTTATTTTGTCTTCATCTTGTGTGTATTCGTTTCAAGATAATTGATTGTTATTTAGTATTTATTTTGTCTATAATAAAATGAATAACATGTTCGCTTAAACATTTCACCATCTTTATCAAAATTTGGTGTTTATTTACATTTTAGACATTTTTATTTTTATATACTGTCAAACATATTTTACAATATTATTTTTAATATTATAATATTTTATGTTTTGTTTGTTTTTCATAAAAGCACATAGTTATTTTTATGTGTCCGATTATTTTTTATACGTAGTAATTAATATAAGTTCAGTGTGTATACAATGTATTTTTTAACAACAACATACAATATAATTTATGTGGTAATCTTTGTATTTGTTAGATGTATTTATTCCTTTTGATTTAATTTATATTCTAATTTTGTTCGTATGTTTAATGCATATTAATTCCTAAGGTGTTACTATTAAAAATTTAGTGATACACACACATAAAATATATATATATATATATATATTCAAATTTAATGAGCATCTGATTTTTCTTAATTTATTGAAAATAAGAATAACATTAAATTTCACAATTCATGTTTTTTTATTTTCTTATATAAGTAATTTCTAACATTTGTCAACATTGATAAAATATATATATATATATATATATATATATATTCAAATTTAATGAGCATATGATTTTTCTTAATTTAGTGAAAATAAGAATAACATTAAATTTCAGAATTTATGTTTTTTTATTTTCTTATATAAGTAATTTCTAACATTTGTCAATATTGATAAAATACAATATCTAAGAATATAAATTATGGATTATTTTCAGCCTTTTACATTTTTTTAAATTCATGGATACTATGATTTATATAGTAAGATATTTTTTTATCTCAAAATAAAATGATTTATACTTCTTAAAAAGAATTGATAAGTGCATTCACATAAATTAAATCTTTGTTAATATTAAACATTAATTTTTTTGTGTAAAAATAAATTTTGCATGCCATGTGTCACTTTCTCTTCATCTTATTTAGTGACATGGCATCATAAGAGCGAAAAAAACTCTTCTTTATATAATAAGATATGTCAACATATATATCTCACTTTATTTGATAAGTTATTAACGAATTGGTCCATCAATAATAATTTGGTTCGATGTTTTTTTAAAAAACTATATTTCAGTGTTATAATAAATAACTCTATTTTAATAATATAGATTTGAAAGAGTGTCTTAATAAATGGATAATTTATCGATAAAGAATATCATTTACCATATTATAATCAAATAAACTATGCCTTTTTATTTTGGTGTTTGCTTTATTATTATTTTTTTGTATTTTTTGGTAGTAACAAATTTTCCTTATAATTTTAGATATTTGGTTGTAATGTTGTGTATTCTAAACTTATTATCATCTATTTGACAAATCTTATCTATTTAACATGAGAAAATTCAAGTTTCTCTCAGATTTGATTTTTTTTAATTGATCAATTATGCACATGAAGGAAAAGATGATATCTGAATCTATCAAATATTGCCCGTTTCCTTTCCATTCAGCACCCAATGATTTGGGGTAAAGTAATTATAAAAAAAACTATCAATTAAGGAAATTTCGCATTGATTAATAAATGCTAAGATTTTCATTAATCAGACGACTAAGAAACAAAACATTTGTATTCATCAACTTAATCTGTTAATAAATATTTTAATTAAATTTAGAATAGTTCTTTATAATATTAAAATTCAAACAGGTTATTTTACAAAAATATTAAGAAGAAAATCGTAATCGGTAGAAGATATAAAAATTTATAAAATGTTTTTAAATGCAACTTTATAAAATAAAACAAGAAACACTTACAAATTATCCATCATACAGTTTAACTTCCAAAAATAAATGATATTTTGCTAATACTTGTGCCCATGGAAAACCAAAAAAAAATCTGTAAAATCAGAATACAATCAGAGAGCTCTGTCATATTTTCAATTTGTTTTCCTTTCACGTTGTCTTTTTCCATAAATAAATAAAAAAAGCTTCTCTAATATAAATCATTAAACACAAATAAATCCCAATAATGAGGGATAAGTATCAGTTACTACTAAATAGATTAACGCAGGAAGAAGGAAGAAATCTGAGAGTGAATGCTTTCTTCGAACGCGCTCTCTCTCTACACTTCTTATTCTCTCTCTCTCTCTCTACACACACACACACCTCTTCGTCTTCGTTATCTCCTCTCACAGAGACTATCTATCACTGCAAGTGGAAGCATCAATTTAGGGATCTGACGCCTTCCTGGATTCTCGATTGCTCCTTCGGCTCTCAGCTTTTCTCGATTGAAAGCTGCTGAAAAATCTGGTAAGAACTAGGTCTCGATTAAGCTCCTTCCATGTTCAATTTCACCATGAAAGTTTCCAACTTTTGATTTGGGTTTTTTTTCGTCTGTGTGTGGATTTGAGCAATTGAGATTGAATGGTTTCTCTTTATGGGTTTCCTTCAATGGAACTTGTCTGTGTAGATCTGTTGAAAAGTTTCAAACTTTAAGTTTACTGTTGGCAATGGATCTCAGACTAGCTAAGGTAGAAGATGATCACATTCATCTTTTTTTGAAAACTAGTTCTAATAAAGGTTAGCTGTAAGATGAGATTCTGATAGATATAGTCTCTCAGAATCATAGGTTTTGTTTGTTACTATCATAATGTTCTTCTGGGAATGCTGGAGCTGAAACCCTAACTATGTGTTTTATTTTTGTAATCAGATCTTTCAGCTACTTCTCTGAATTGGTCAGACGCCACTAGGATTATAAAAATGGCGTTTAAGTTGGGACTTCTTTTCAATTGTTGACCTCTGTTGGGTCAACCGAGTATGATCTCTGAAGTGGTCAAAAGGATACTTACTTTGTAGTGTTGAACAAAACAACATCTTTTTTTAAAAGGAAAGAGTTATATATAGTTTGCTGGGAAAGATCATGCCTTGGTGGAGTAAACATTCATCAAAAGATGAAAAGAAGAAATCTAGCAAGGAGAGTATCATCGATGCGTTTAACCGGAAACTAGGGTTTGGGTCTGAGGATAAGTCTAGTTTTCGATCAAGAAAGTCACGTAGAAGACGTGATGAGATTGTCTCAGAAAGAGGAGCTATATCTAGACTACCATCAAGATCTCCATCTCCTTCTACTAGGGTTTCACGCTGTCAGAGCTTTGCAGCAAGATCTCCTGCTGTACCTCTTCCTCGTCCTGCTCTCCGTACTACTGTGACACGCATTGATTCTGGTTCACAGAGACCAGGTTCCAATGCTAGTTTGCCACTTCCAAAGCCACATGGTGGTGGTGTTTCCAATGTGCCTGATAATATCGGTGCTGAGGCTGATTTTACCACTGCTTCTGTTTCTAGTGGAAGCTCTGTTGGTGACAATCCATCTGATTCTATTCTTAGTCCATTGGCTTCTGATTGTGAGAATGGTAACAGAACAGCACTAAACATTTCTTCAAGGTGAGTTCTCTCTCTCTCACACACACTCTCTGACTCGGTATATCTTACTTAACATGTTGTTATCATACTCTATATGTATAGGGAACAGCCCATGCATAGTAACAAAAACTCAGCTGAGATGTTCAAGCCTGTCCCAAATATGCCCAACAAAAACCGGAGACCTCTGGGGACACATGTAAAGAATCTACAAATCCCAAAACGGGACCTAGTTCTCTGCAGTGCTCCAGATAGCTTACTTTCTAGTCCTTCAAGGAGTCCAATGAGATCCTTTGTTCCAGATCAGGTCTCAAACCATGGGTTGTTGATTGGCAAACCATATCCAGATGTTTCCTTGCTTGGATCTGGACAGTGCTCCAGCCCAGGTTCAGGTTACAACTCTGGTAACAATTCCATTGGTGGAGATATGTCTGCTCAGCTGTTTTGGCCTCAGAGCAGGTGTAGCCCTGAATGTTCCCCTGTCCCTAGCCCAAGAATGACGAGTCCTGGTCCTAGCTCAAGAATACAAAGTGGTGCTGTTACACCTCTTCATCCTCGAGCTGGAGGATCAACCACTGGCTCTCCTACTAGACGGCTTGATGATAACAAACAACAAAGCCACCGTCTGCCTCTCCCCCCGTTATTAATATCAAATACTTTTCCGTTGTCTCCGACATATTCGGCAGCTACATCGCCGTCTGTCCCACGTAGTCCAGCAAGGGCAGAGGCTACTGTAAGCCCTGGATCACGATGGAAAAAAGGGAGATTGTTGGGGATGGGCAGTTTTGGACATGTGTATCTTGGTTTCAACAGGTTTGTAATTCTAAGTGGAAAGACCTTGCATGTTGAATTTCTATGTTACTCCTGGTTTGATCAGATATGTTTTCTTCTACAGTGAAAGTGGTGAGATGTGTGCAATGAAAGAGGTTACTCTATGCTCAGATGATGCAAAGTCAAGGGAGAGTGCGCAACAATTGGGCCAGGTGAGTTACAAATCATCTGTCTGTAACAATAAAAAGCTGCTTCTTTATTGAATTTTCTGACATTTCAGTTTCTTTTTCAATAATTGACTCTCACAGGAGATTGCAGTTCTGAGCCGTTTAAGACACCCTAATATAGTGCAGTATTATGGCTCTGAAACCGTAAGTTATACATATATACTGTCGATCTTTCTGTTCTCTAGTATCAGTAACACACTGAGGATACTATTAGCTGTTTAAGCTGAACTACTTTGTGGAAATGACTATGCTACTCTTACTTCCTTGCCCCCATACAGGTAGATGACAAGTTGTATATATATCTGGAGTATGTCTCTGGTGGTTCTATCTATAAGCTTCTTCAGGAGTACGGGCGGTTTGGTGAGAATGCAATCCGTAACTATACACAACAAATTTTATCAGGGTTGGCGTACTTGCACGCTAAAAACACTGTTCATAGGTGAGTCTTCTATCCATTCGTCTGATTCATCAGTTCCCGTCTCATCCTTCCTTCATTGGAGAATCAAGTGAATAGGGATTTTAACTTTGTTCAGGGACATCAAAGGAGCAAATATATTGGTGGATCCTCATGGACGGGTAAAAGTGGCTGATTTCGGCATGGCAAAACATGTATGGATATGTTCTCTTCAACACCAGTTAGACATGTTTGCATAACTCTAATACATATTCATGAACAAAATGCAGATTACGGCTCAATCTGGCCCTTTATCATTCAAGGGAAGCCCGTATTGGATGGCACCTGAGGTAAGTATGCTGCTAACAGACATCGGTGTCATGTTGGTAGGCTATATGCTGATTTTTTGTACCTTGCGATTAATGTCAGGTGATACAGAACTCAACTGGCAGTAACCTTGCGGTCGACATATGGAGTCTAGGATGTACTGTTTTAGAAATGGCGACAACGAAACCTCCATGGAGCCAGTATGAAGGGGTTAGTAAATTATTAAGTGTTGAGAAACAAAAGATTATGTGAAATGAATCCTTTCCATCCTCATGCATGTGAGTTATTTACAGGTTCCTGCAATGTTCAAGATTGGAAACAGCAAGGACCTTCCGGATATCCCTGATCATTTATCTGAAGAGGGGAAGGATTTTGTGAGAAAATGCCTACAAAGAAACCCTGCAAATCGTCCAACAGCTGCCAAGCTTTTAGAGCACGCTTTCGTTAGAAACGTGATGCCGTTGGAAAGGCCTCTTGTGAGTTCCGAGTCTGCAGAATCTATGAATGTAGCTTCAAGCACCATGAGATCACTGGTATTAAAAGCTCGTCTTTTCCTCAGTTCTAAAATCTCTGTGGACTTCTGGTTGCGTGACAAATCTGTCTGTTCTTTTAGGATATTGGACACGCAAGGAGTCTTCCGTTAGACTCAGAAGATACCAGCAATTACCAGCAGAAAGGATTGAAACCTGGCTTGGGATTCAGGTACCTTATGAGCCATTCCATTTCTACCTTCATTTTACAAGCATCTTGACATCTTTGTGGCTTCAACTTCCTCCTTTTGGTTACAGTACATCCCAGTCTCCTAGGAACATGTCGTGCCCGATTTCACCAGTCGGTAGTCCAATCTTTCACTCGCATTCGCCACACATTAGTGGAAGAAGATCTCCATCCCCGATATCTAGTCCCCACGTTCTGTCCGGTTCATCAACACCTTTAACTGCGGGCGGTGGAGCCATTCCTTTCCATCACCAAAGACAAACTACAATCAACTTGTTGCAGGAAGGGATAGGATCAAGCAGAAGCCCGGGAAGTGCAGGAAACTTCTACAACAACAGTTATTTTCAGGAGCCTAGGCAGCCTCGGAGTAGTCCAAGAACACCTCCTCACGTATTTTGGGACAACAACGGTTCAATCCAACCAGGGTATAATTGGAACAAGGACAATCAACCAGTCCTGTCTGATCATGTGTCACAACAGCTATTAAGCGAGCATCTGAAACTGAAGTCCCTTAATCTGAGACCCGGGTTTTCAACTCCTCCTGGTTCAACAAACAGAGGACCCTAACCAAACAAATATATATAGCTGGCAGAGACTCCTCCCTGACTTGGGAATTACAACAAGGCCTGAAGGGTTAGAATCTCAGAGTGTAGGGTGAATGAGGCGTGAGTCACAACCATTGGATAATATCAAGAACTGAGGATTCGTTTTTTTGTTTTGTTGGAAAATCTGAAGAGCTCGTTATCTTGTCTTTCTTTTTCTCTGAGGATAGATGGAAGTGAGAGAGGAGAGAGATCAACAACAAAATTTGATTGTGTATAGAACAGAAATTCAATCTTTCATCTAATTCGTCTCTTTCCCTCTCTTTCTTTTATATGGTCTACTCTGATTTGTTGCTGATGAGAAGATGAGACAAAAGAGAGGGCAAACAGCTTAAAACTTAAAGTCATTTGATGTAATCTGTTTTCATTGTAAGAGTATCCCAATTTAGATTATTAGCACAATCTCTTTCTAACTCTTAAATATTAGACGAAGAGGGAAAATGAAATTTGATTATGAAAAATCAAGTTAGCTAGATAATGTGATTACTTAGTATGCAAAGTCGTCCACACAATGACGATATTGAGAGTAAAACATGTTTGGACTACGTGTATATACAACTTTTTCAACACTTCTCTTACAAAAGAAACAAACCATATAGACACAGAACGATCGTGGATTCTTCTTCAATCATGACGATGGAAGTAACATAAGCAAACATAGATTATAAAGGATTGAAGAGATACGGATGTTACAAGTTACGTTACAGTGGTTACAACCCCCCCAAGGGCTTTTTTATATATGTATGTTGTATCGATTATTTCGTGCTGTCGTCTCCTTAATCGGAGCACTGTTGAAGCCGGACATGGTGAGGACACGCCCTTTCTGGCTCTCCTTTCGTCCATAAAATCCAAAGATCGTCTCGTTTTCGAGCTAGTGTTAACATCGTTCCTATATTTTCATCGCGAGATTTCTCTCAGTACTCTCATTCGATGCACGTTATGGAGAGAACAAAAAAGAGAGATTTTCAAGCTTACCGAGTGTGAAAGGGACAATGTAGAGTAATGCTGGTTGGCCGTGTCCATCCATAAGGTTTAGTGCCACGTAAGTAATCAAAAGACCTGCGGTTTTCAAATGGTTAAATGATTGTCAAGAAAATGAGACAGGATACCAGTGTGATTATGCAGCTTTGTGTGTGTGATGTTACCTAATCCGTAGGCAACCATTGCCCATATAAAATAGCCGGTTCGAAGAGTCTTGTTAGCTAGCCAGTCATATCTGCAAGAACAAATGTTTGAAAACCTTGATGAATGGAAACAAGGTGTGATGTTTTATGATATACAGAGAGAGTGAAAAGGTTTTAGACCTGAGAGCAAATGCGATTAGCAAACCGGGCAAAAGAATATCACCGAATCCAATAATGCTGTAGCCTCCCCACGGATCGAACATGCGTGGAATCTTCAGTAGCATAGGGATGCCATCTTCTCCGCTTTTATCACCACGTGCTACCTGCAAATAAGGAAGCAACAATGTATTTTAAGAGCCTATGAGGTGAAATGAAGATTTCTAAACGAGATTTTGAGTTTAGGCATTGATGGAATCTCTATGAAAATGATGGGTGGTTGGTTACTTACGACAATCATTACGCTTTCATGGAACAACTTCTTGGAGACAAACACCCAGAAGATATCGTACAAGAAGGCACAGCTGAGGAGAACTGTCCCAACCTGTTCCAACCGATATGTAGCATTATTAGAATCTCCACACGTTTGGGTAACTCTAAGATGGAAAGATTGAGATGAGATATACCTTAAGATTTGGGACATGAACAATCTGTAACACTGTGATGATCAATGCGATCCCCTAGACAATAGAAAAACAATGTCAAATTCCATCTAACAGAATTGGATCGTAGTTGTAAATGAAATTGTATGAGACTGCAATCCTTACAAGAACATCCTGGCCAATCCAAGCTAAGGAACGCTCTCGGTAAACAGCCCATAGAACAGCAAAGACAATGCAGAAAGGAGAAACTGCAATTGTCAGATAAGAGATAGGTCCAAGGAAAGGGACTTTTATGTAAGAATCTCCTGCACGCTGAAACCATCTGCAAAAAGGAGAAAGAACACAATCAGTGACATTCGAGAGGATAGGACCATAAGTGTTGAAAGAAAACAAGCTTTTACCTTGATAGCAAAGCGACAAGGCAAGTTTGCAAACCCTGAAGATAAAGAAGGTACACCACATAAGAAATTAAACTAGTTTTTAAATGCAGTTTAAGTATTCATTGGATTATGATAATAAGTCGGAAGAGACTCATACTGAGAGGATGCAGAGGAAAAAAAAATAGAACTTAAAATAAGTTAGTACCTCAACACCACCAATGCAGAAAACAACCACAAGAAGCTCCACAAACCAATAAGACATAAGCTTGTAAAGAACCACCAGGAAGCCCGAAGCAAGAAATACGAAACAAATAGCTGAAAGAGTATTGATCTCTACGACACCACTACCCCCATCATTTGTGTTAGGGATTTCGTCTACAGCATCCTACATTTTTTGCAAAAAAAAAATAAACAAATGATTAGGTGTAAGAACAATAACACTGACAATAAAACCATAAACAACGCCATGTGAATGTTTTCTCTAAAGTAGACAAATGCCGCAAGGAGGGGCCCAGTTCAATAGAAAAGCCATCCGTTACCTATCCATTTCTTGGGTGCTTATGTTAACACAACCTCTCCATAAATAGGAAAGTAAAATGGTAAAGAAATGACCAAGTGTGGTTCAATGTACTATACAAATGACTGTTCTTCCTCGGCCAAACCAAGTTACCAACTACTCTGTCCCTTTGGAATTATTGGAATTGATTGCCCAAGAAGGGGAAGGACTTACTTATTGTCAGATAACGTTATCCTTAACTATTCAACTAAATGTTCCTAGCCTAACACTAGTATTCCCAAATAAGTACAAACCTTGAGTAGCTTATCATGTTCAATAGCTGCATCTCGGGCACTCCATGCAGACCAATAAGATGCACACAAAATGGTACCGATAGCCATTAACCACAAAAATACTTCGGCTACATCAACGGCTGGTCGCCTTGGGGAGTAAAGCTGCACCGACACTACAATAAGTACGGAAGATCCGTGAGTTGAACAATTAAAAACGAATGGTTCTGAAGCAAATCGTGATTGGAACAGAAAAAATTTCAAGCTAAACAGAAAAGCATATCCATGATGAGACTGATGAGGTACCTTTAGAACTGTTGATAAGCATTTTTTCCAAGGTTGCACCAGCGTCTTGTGGGAGCATGACGGCAGGAATCTTTATGTCTAGATCCGTTTCATCCGGTTCACAAACCATTTTATAAAGTTCTATCAAACAAACAAACAAAAACGTATACTCAGTATAAGTGATTAATATAAAAAAAGACTAAAGCAATGAGACAACTTCAAACAGTCAGATCAACACAAAGAAAATTATGAACATACCTTTCTGGTTATTAATGATAAGCAGAGCAGAGGCACCAGCTGCTTCGGCATTATTAGCCTTAGCAGTAAACCGACAGTTGCCCCGGTCCACAATAACAACATCTCCAATAAGCTAACAAAGATTGAAAACCTTGTAAGCTTACGAACTAGATTAAATGAATTGATTCCAATCACAATTTTCTACCTTAGTCTTGAGAGGTGAACAACAATCACGAGGATTAGCAAAGACAACATGAGTCTGGTTAGCGTTCTTCTCCTTGGAGACAATCCGCCTCCCAAATCTAGCACCAACCCCCACAAACTCAGCATCTTCAGTACCATCAATCCAAGTTTGAACTTTAACCTAAGGAGGAAAGAAACAGGTGAGATATCATTAAAAACATAAACTTTGCACCATATCTCAATCCACATGTTTGAACAAACAAGAGACAGATTCATCCGAGGAAAAAAAAGTAACAAACTTTACTAACAAAAATCACAGCTTTAGTTAGTTCTTAGGATCCAAAGGGGTCACTCCACAACCCCCACAAGTAACTTCATTGCTAAGGAAGAGAAATCAAAAACAAAATTGAGGTAAATCCCAGAACTTAGATCAGTTACAAGCTAAAACAGTGGATTGAGAGTTCAATCTTTGAGCTCAAAAGTTACTAAACTAATCTAATCTCCCTGAAATAAACAAAATTAGTGAAGAAACAAAAATAAAGTTGAATTGGGAGTAAGAAGAGTACCAAAACGAAGTCGTTTTCGCAACCAGGCTTCTTCGGAGCTAAATCGTCGTGATGAACTATATCACCGGCTGTGACAGTAGAGAGGAGAGAGACGAGTAAGATCGAAGCGGACAAGAGAAGAATTCGGAGAAATCGGAGCGAATCCATGGAATGCTACCCCAAGGATTCACCAACTCTTTTTTTTTTTTTTTTTTTGGGTTAAATCACACACGCAGAAACAATGAAGCGAGGATGAGAGAGAGGAGTGAAACACGGGGATGGCTAAAGTGATTAATTAATATAAAATAACAAATGGGAATATTTACATTTGATCTGATGATATCTTTGTATGTGGAATGTGACGTAAGCGCGTAGAAAAGACACGATGACAAACGACGCCGTTAGGTCGTTACTGGACCGGTTTAGCTACAATTTTGGTTTTTATATATTATGTGATGTAATTTCTACTGGGTTCATATATGATTTGGAATACGTCAGTTAGCTAAATTGACGTTTGTTGTCTCGGACATACCCATGTTGTTTTGCTTTCTCTAACCTATTTATTATTTTATTTGGTTTAGTACTATATGATTATTACTGATTATAATGGTTTCTTAATTGGATTCCGAGTGGACCTGAAGACTAATTGATATTTTGAATCTTTTAATTTATGACCAGGAGATAAATAAATAAATAAAATCATTTTTATGAGTTATATAGTACAAGAGACTATTCCATGCTAATCTTTCCTAGTTTTTTTTTTCTTTTGTTTTACGTCATATATAGCTCTAAGCTGAAGCTATATTTATTGTTGATTCATTCAATCATGTTTTTCTAATTTCTCAAGCTTCTGATTATGAAATGATATTTTACCAATTTGAAACCGTATTTTCAACACATACCCTTTTGTTTTCTTTCAAATACAGGACACCGAATTCCAATGAATCGATTTTTATTGGTTCGAATTGGTTTATTCCATGTCCAGATCAACAACACATACAAACAAAATAATTAACCACTCGCATTTTTTGAGCTTTTAACACTTCCAAAACTTGTACACAACTACACATAACCAAAACGTATATCTTTCATGTTTCACCACATCACAAGAACTGATGACTCACAAGCAACAACTCTTATATCTCTTCAAAACTCCTTATATACTATTAGTATACCTCATGAAGACACACTCAAGGCTTATAGACTATAGTTACTTAGAGCACTTACGGAATCAATTTCAAAACTCATATTTAAAGTTTCATTTTGTAAATATTACAAATTATCTATTTTCAATGTTTTTGCTAAATTGTATCCAAGGACCATTGTGTAAAGTGTAAAATTTTAAACTTAAATTCATAATTCTTTACTTTAGGGAGAAACATCCTCAAATTTAAAAATTAAAGTTAACCTAATTAAAAAATTGGGGATACTCTTACATAAATCTTCATTACATGGATTATAGATGTCAGCATCATTGCATCACTCTTATCACTAGCGATTTTCGTCAAAACAGGTCTTCTCCCTCTTTCATTTTTCACCCGCGCAACCAATAACTTTCTAATAATAACAAAACAGCTAAAATAATCAAATGGCTACACGTAGCTATGATGCATGGTATGTCTACCACTAGCCGCGTCACGTACCAAGACGTTTGGAATAGGGATAACATGGGTACGGCTCGGAAACAGAGGCGTCTCGAACAATGAGGGGGCGGTAAGGATTTTATGGGGATGTAATGTAAGGGTTGATATAAGGACGTTCACGAGACACATGAGTTTTTTTTTAAAATTGGCATTTTCAGTGGTAACAATAGATGTTTTCAGTAATTATTATTAGATGTGCAAGATGCACAAGGCATATAACCAATTTTGTTGTAATTAAAGTTGAGAACTCAGAATTTTTCATAACTTCGTTTCGAGCAAAAACTGCTGAGAAAACATAAGTTCGGATGAGGAAACTAGGCAAGGTGACTATATGGCTTTAGTCATAGGGACATTCCTAGTATTTATGGGAGTTTATATCTGCAGCATAGCTTTAAAGAATTAATTTTTTTAAGAAACCCAAAATTGAATTGGATACTTTCATTATAAAAGTTTAAATATTTTTTTTCATTTAACAAAGATGCAAATTTTATATTATCAATACAACTTTTTAGTTTGTGCACCATTTATCTACAAATTACTTGAGACATTTACTATTGAAATAAATTAAAATTTTGAAATTATGGTATTAGTTGAGGGTTATTTTGCATTGTAAATTTATTATTAAAATGTGTGAAAACCTCAAAACTTCTATTTTTGAGGAAAGGAGGGAGTATTTAAATTTTACAAAGCATAAAACAAAAACAAAATTGTGATCTGAAACCCATTTAAAATAAATCAAAGAAGTGTTTGAAACTAAACTTTTATGTAGATTTTATATTATTTTTTGTTTAACTTATGAATTGTAAGCATACTAAGTTTAACGGGTGACATTCGGCTTTCTTGTTGTCCACGGCAAATGTCACAACCGGAACATTATAGGATCCCTGGACGAAAAACATTGCATTTGGATCGTCTATATTAACCACTTTCATGTGTCTTTCCGGGTCAACCATTCTTGCAAATAACTTGGCTTCAGCATCTCTGCACTCTCTAGTCAAGATTGTGAAAACTGCAATGTCGAACTCTACTTCAACACTTTCTCTACAGCAAGTTCTTGAGGAAAAGCTTCCATAACCAGAGTTCAGTTTCAAGTGTTAGTGACACTAGGGTGGGTTTCAATAAGTTAGCCGAGTTCAGTTTCAAGTGTTAGTGACACTAGGGTGGGTTTCAATAAGATAGCCCATACTCTTGACCCATTATCTTTTATTTTAAAAAGAAACTGAAATTCACATAATTATTTGAGCAAAGAGAACCCACCCACATACATAATTATTTTGATCTTTTTATAGAATCGAGGGCTTGTCTTTTGACATAGAAGGCAGAACATGTTGATTTAATTCTTATCTTGTTTTGTACTATGGTGGTTCTCAACTCAAACTGCATTCTATCTCCACAAATATCCTCCGAATCATGAATGATTGAGGTTGAATACATTTTACCTTTGAATGGTACCTACTGGTATTTATCTAGTTCCTAATAGTTACTGCGTTCTTTTGTGTACTGGTGTTTATTTTGTAATACTTGTTTTCCTGCATTTGTGTAAGACCAATTTGATCATAAACTTATATCACAAGGAATACAATGAAGGTTTCAGCGTTAACAAAACTAACTGAGAAATTTTTTTAGATCCAAACTCAAAGTTTAAGATACGTGGGCACCAAACCACCTACGCACAGCTCCTGCGTTTTTGGCTTCAAGGAGTAATTAGTAGACATGATACAGTCTCTGATGGCTTTGTCAATCGTCATTCTGGCTAAATGTAGAGCCGGCCTGGAATTGTTGTTGTGCCACCTGTCATTTATTTGACACGAAATATAGTAGATGTTGACCTGTAAGGCAAGTCGCAGAAGAATGGAAGTAAAAGTGTCATAGGAACCACTCAGTAGCGTTGCCACTGTCATTTCCCAATCTGGGGCAGTCAAATCTCTAGAAACACAAAGGATTATAAGAACAATTTTTCTTATTAGCTTTAGAAACTACTCAAAACTAAAGCTCACAATATGTTTCTCTTAGATCATATAATCTACTCTCTTAGATCTTATGGAACACCTCTCCATAGATCTTTATTTATATGCAAGATAATTCCCTTGAACATGTGGGATATGGAAAACACAAACCTAATCTAATAGAAAACTTCCTTTTCCTATTTCTAGATTTCCTTATTGTGTTTATCTCTTAACATATTAAACATCTAATAATATGTTAAGTTTCCACAAGCTTGGAATTACCCAACATTCACCCCCTTAATTCCAACTTGAATTAGGGAGATCAATTTCTTGAACTCCGATTAAGCTCCTCGTTTGCTTGAACTTAAACTTTAAGTAATCATCCTTCACCACACGATAGTATGCGAATCCACCCATTGTATTCACATATTTCTCAAGGTTAGACTGGATGATTTCCTTACTTTTGTATCGCCTCTTCTTAGAATTGGCCCAGTTCTTGTAGAACCTTCTCCTGACCTCTTCACTTAAGTTGCGACGAGTCTTGCAGCTGAAACTCGCTCTGGTCACGTCCGCCATCTTGCATACGTGAGTTGTGTTACACACTTCCGTCTTTGTGTCACATACGTGAGTTGTGCTACACGTCTCCATCTGTGTATCACATACCCCTACATGAGTTGTGTTACACGTTTCCATCTTTGTGTTACATACCTCTGTATGTTTAACACCAGCCGGTCTAACCACATACTCCACTGGTACATGTGTTGTAACACACGCTTTCATATGTGTGTCACACATGATTCCTTGAGCACTTATCTCTGGTTCGTCTCCAGCTTTTGACATCTTGTAACTTGACTCCATTGGAACTTGAGTTGCGTTACACGTCTCCATCTTTGTGTCACACAGGATTCCTTGAGCATACCTTTCTTGCTTTATTCTGATTCCGTCTGCTCCTTGAATCACCTCAATGCCAAGGTAATACGTTAGCTTACCTAGATCTGACATCTCGAACTTCTTTGACATCTCCTCCTTGAAACGCTTAATCACCTTAAGANCTCCTTTCTTTTCGAAACCTTCGGGTTGAGTTACATACACTAACTCCTTTAGATCTCCATTCAAGAATGCGGTCTTCACATCCATGTGATGTATCTCCCAACCGTTTGTTGCTGCGAGAGCTATCAAGAGCCGGATAGTTTCGAGACGTGCCACTGGTGCAAACACTTCATCGAAATCTATTCCTTGAACTTGAACATAACCTTTAGCTACAAGTCTCGCCTTATACTTGTTCACCGTACCATCCGCCTTTCTCTTTATCTTGTAGATCCACTTCAACCCTATCGGTTTCACTCCAGCTGGTTTATCCACAAGCTCCCATGTCTTGTTTCTTGTGATAGACTCCAACTCGGCCACCATTGCTTCAACCCATTCTCGTACATGTTCAGCTTCAAGATAGTTCTCTGGCTCTCCATCTACTGTGAGCAACAACATTGCACACTCTTGATCTGCAAGTAACACATAATCATCAAGATATCTTGGTTTTGTTATGGTGCGGCCGTGTCTAGTCACCAACGGTTGAACTCCA